CTATTGGGAAATTTGCCCCACTACACTAGCCCCCCTTTGAGTCTAGAGTCATCGAAAAGTCGCATGAGTCTGGACCAAGTTTCGAGACGAATAGTCAGTTCGGTGTGGGACCCATGATTTCACGATTGCGGCCCTTGCTCGAGCAACTTGTAAGACCGAACTGAGTAGGACCAGTCCTTTTTTGTATGAACTCCTCCTTTGTAAATAGACTCTTGTGGACTGAATAGACTTTTGTTTCTTCTATACTTAGCAAAATTTTTCATCCATGTCTTTCTTATCATACTGTTTAAATACACTTGTGCGAACAGACCCCGAGCCGGCGCGCGATCTGACTTTCAACTAATGCAAAATAGTTCATACATTTGGGCAAAAAGATAGACCCATGCGCGACCTGACTTCTAACTTGTGAAAAATTGTTCAACCTCAACTAAATACATTTGTCCGAACTGGATTCTAACTTGTTCAGAGCTATGCCAAACAACTCAGGTCATGTATGGACAGAGTGAGTGTGATTTAATGAAAGAGCCTCATACTCGGACTCGTTATTGGTGGCATTGATGTCGAACCTCAAGACGCGAGCCCATTCTTCTCCCGTAGGGCTGATTAGGAGGAGCCCGACTCCACACCCTTGCTTGATGCTCTATCGGTATACAATATCCAGGATGGGATGGCCTGTTCGGCAACCTCCTTGGTCTCTTCGGCCTGTACAGCCTCTCTGGCTTGTCCGATCTCAGCAGCTTCTCCGTCCTGTTTGGCTTCGGCTGCTCCTCTGGTCTGCTCGGTTTCGGCTGCCTTTATGGCTTGTGTGACCTCGGCAACTTCTCCGGCCTGCTCGGCCTCAGCCTCGTCTCCGGTCAGTTCGGCCTTGGCTGCTCTCTCGGCCTGTGTGACCTCGACAGCTTCTCCGGCCTGTTCGGCCTCAGCTGTGTCTCCGGTCAGCTCGGCCTGGACTGTTTTTGTGGCCTGTGTGACCTCGGCAGCTTCTCCGGCCTTCTGCCTCAACTCGCGCAAGAGCTTCCTTGGCCTATTTGGCCTTAGCTAACTCAACGCGAGCCTCTCCGGCCTCTCCTGTGCGCTTTTCAAGCGATTGGCTTCCTCTGCATTAGCTTTCTCGTGAGCTCGATTCAGCGTCTCCCGAACTGACTTGGGAGGTCTCTCCACGAACTCGGTGTAAAGTTTCTGCTTGCGCAATCCGTTAATGAAGGCGGCCATGACGACCTTATCGTCCCGATCCCGGACCTGGAGAGACTCGTCGTTGAATCGCACAATGTATTCCCGCAGTGACTCCTCAAGCTTTTGATGGATTGTCAGCAGGTGAGCAGTGCTCTTGGAAAAGGCTCGCGACGAAATGAACTGAGTTGAGAACAGTAGCGCGAGCTGGCTGAAGGACCGAACTGACCTGGAAGGTAGTCCCTGGAACCACTGGCGCGTCTTTCCCTCCAGGAATATTGGAAAGGTCTTGCATCTGACCGCATCCGCGGCTGTTTGCAGGCGCATTTGCGTCATGAATGCGAACAAGTGATCTTCCGGGTCCGTGGTCGCATCATAGGACTTCATGGAAGGAATCTTGAACTTTGCGGGCAACGGATAATCTTCGATATCTGGTATGAAGGTTGAAGCGGTGTACCTGTTCTCCAACAGATCCAGTTCATCCTGCATCTGGTATTCCTCCTTCCTGAGAGGGAACTCCATCCGCGGGAGCCCGGGGATGGGCTCCGGGTGATCAGTTCGGGAGTTCTTGTGGGAGGACTGCAGAACCTCAACCTGCTCACGTGTGAGCTCCTTCCGTGCCCTCTTCGGTCGGGGGTTAGGGCTCCCTGTTTTAGATTCCGACGGCCCAGTTCCGTTCGCCCTTCGTGCCCTGCGTTCCTAGCCGGGATGATCCCCGGATTGTCCCTTCAGATAATTCACAATGGCTTCGAAGGTAGGCAGATTCGCCACCACTGACTGCACCAGCTGCTCTGGCGGGATCCGCGAGAGCTCAATCCTCTCGTTCTCCAAGATTGGATCTTGACGGGGGTGTTGTGGATCACTCTGCTTGTTCCCCATAGATCCGTCCACGTTCCTCTGCGATCTAGTTTTCGGTATGTTTTCACAAAAGAGAGTAACTCGTTCCCACAAACGGCGCCAATTGATGCGGCTGCCAAAAACAAGATCCGAGCTGAGCTGCGACGAGCTGAGCGAGCTGAGAGGGAGCGATGGGCCGAACTGACAGGGAGAGAACGAACGACCTGTCCTGCAGAGAGAAAAATAAACGGAGGGGGCTAGCTCCCCGGAGTAACTCCCACGACGGGCTAAGCGAGTTGAGAGGGAGCGAGCTAGCGGGCTGGCCAGGGAGCCAAAGACAGTCCGAGCGGAGCTGCTACGAGCCGGGTTGGCTGAGTGTAGCCGAGCTGGGAGGGGGAAATTGAGCAGGCAGCCCTGCAAAGAAAGAACAAAAGCGGGGCTGAAGTCCCCGGAGTAGCTCCGACGGTCAAGTCAGTAGAGCTTATGAGTAGGGCAACAGTATAGAGTACTGTAGATGGTGTATCTTGAAGCGTTGTGTGGTGCTATATTTATAGACTGGAGGGATGGAGTTTCTTTATCGGATTTTGAGTCCTAGTCAAGGGGGAGTCTTGCTAGGATTTTACCCGTGGATCCCGAAAGGCTTGGGAGGCGCGGCCCATTAAGCCCACATGGCTTGCGGGGCAGTGGGAATGGCCGAACTAATACTCTCTATGTCCGAGCTGCTCTAACCGAGCTGCCATATCACAGCATCCGATCTGACACGTGGCATCCGTAGATTGGTTGGCCGAGCTAACAGGTCATCATGTCCGAACTGACACGTGGCTATTAGGATATTTGCCCCACTACACATGTTAACTAAAAAGAGCTTAATTTAATCATTTTTAATTAAAAACACACTTAAAAATAAATCAAATGACTACATAAAAACTAGTAAAATAATTACTTGTCAGCTAGCTTAGGTCCAAAGAGGTGTAATAGGAATGGAGTCTGTGGCTGTCCAATATGTATCTCAATGTTTTATCAAACCCAAGTACACTACAGAAGGATCAAAACAACCAATGTTCTTGCCACCATATGAATTGATATTGGTCTTTGCACAATATATGCAGAAGGGCCTTCTTTTTGCAAAGCCACCGGGATTTGACACGAACCAAATTTGAGAACTTGTGCAAAAGATCAATGAATCTTTTTCTCTCACCCTTGTTCATTTCTATCCATTAGCAGGTCGTCTTGTAACACTAAAAAAAGAACAAAGTACTGACTTGGCAATTTAAATTGACTGCAATAAAGGATTCGGGGCTCGATTTATTCATGATGTACTTTCACCAACATATGTTCTTGGGATTGTGAGATCATTGTTTGATCACAAGAGATCAATCAACTATGATAGTTGTTTGTGCTGATTTTTACTGATCTACAAACAATTGCCGATAAAGTGATGGTTGTTAGCGTGCCACCTAGTTTGTGCGAGAAAAACTAGGAATACCTTATGAAAGAATTGATTTGGTAGGGGTGAGAATGCACCGATTTTACTGACTTCTAAGACAACTGCTGCTCGTCCTGCCTTAGTAATCTCAAGGACTTAAAATTCGTGCTAAGAGTAACTGGTCACAAGGAAAGAGTAATGAAACAAGAACTGAAAACTAAAGTTGATGAACTATGAAACATAAAATGTGCTGGAAAACTCATTAGGATTACTTGAAATTGGAAAGAATTCTCAAATTAAACTTGCCTGTTTGTACAAAGATAAACGTGAAACAGATAAAAATTTGGAATAGAAATGAACTGATTGCATGAAAATTTAGAAATCCTAGAAATTAGCCTAAATCTTCTAAGAAAGCTATGAAAATCCTAATTCTAGCCTATGATTTCTAAGAAAAGCTGTTTTAAAGTGAAAGAAGCACCAGATTTGACATTTTTGTGGAGTGAAAGTCGCGTCTCAATCTGTTTATAGATGTGTAGTTTTCCCTCAAATTTAGCAACTTAACCCCCTTAATGCCCATGTTATACTCCATGTCAGCCATAATGGTCTCCAAACAAGGGTAGTGTTAACTGCCCATTCCCAAATCTTGGGGATCATGTAACTACCTCAGCTCTAATTTATAGGAACATGAGCTGATGCACCCGTCTTTTCCCAGCCAATTGCCACCATCAGCTCTACTTTTATCTATACTTGATCTACTATATCAGCTCCGTTTGTATTGGCACCCTCATCAATTAGTATTGGCAGTACTCCTTTGCACACATCGTTGAATATGTAAATATCGGCCATCGTTAGCGATTTGCCATGGAACCTTTATTACTCACACCTATCAGCCTTGAACTGGTGTCGCTAACAATACATTCCTAACTGCTAATTTTTGAAGACCAGTTATCAATCAAGCCTCCATGTGACCTTATATGCCACAATTGATGAGCTCCTTGTGATACAGCCGATTGTCTCCACGATGATTATTGATGACCTGTCGACCCTACATAGATTCCCTAGCATAATCGGCTTCCTTTCTCCATTTTCTACTTACACATATCAGCATATCTTCGTGCATACCGATAGATGTATGAATATCAGCCATCATACCAATTACTGATCAACTTCAAAAAGATGCTACCGATAAGTTCCTATTAGCCGATTACGATTAATCAATACCGGGTGAATATCAACCATGATGCCGGTTATTAATTGGTTTTAAATAAATGTTGCCAATAAGTTGTAAATATTGCACCAACAATGGTCACACAAAACCTTTGCTGACCATTCAAGTCACTGAATTGATAGATGGGATCTTCATTGGATGCTCCACGAACCATGGCCTTATCTTAAGTTGCCTTTAATCTTAAGATTGGCTTCATGAACAATCAACGTTTAGCTGCAGTTAGTTTGCTTGTCTAGAAGATCACTATCCAAAGGGATTGGCCATTCGTAGTTGTTAAAAACATATAAAGGGAATAAACAACCAATTGCTCCAGCTTAGGACCAAAGAGGTGTAATAAGAATGGAGTCTGCGGCTGTCCAATATGTATCTGAATGTTTTATCAAACCAAAGTACACGCTAGAAGGGTCAAAACAACCAATGTTCTTGTCAACATGTGACTTGATTGGTCTTTACATAATATATGCAGAAGTTCCTTCTTTTTGCAAAGCCACTAGGATTTGACATGAACCAACTTGGAGAACTTGTGCAGAAGATCAAGGAATCTTTTTGTCTTACCCTTGTTCATTTCTATCCATTAGCGGGTCGTCTTGCAACACTAAAAAAAGAAGAGAGTATAGACTTGGCAATTTACATTGCCTGCAATAAAGGTTTCAGGGCTCGATTTATCCACGCATCGCTAGACCTGGCTATAGATGATATACTTTCACCAACATATGCTCCTGGGAATGTGAGATCACACAAAGTCAATCAACTATTATGGCCACACAAAGTCTTTGTTGACCATTCAAGTCACTGAATTGATAGATAGAATCTTCATTGGATGCTCCATGTACCATATGGTTGTGGATGGAACATCTCTCTGGCATTTCTTGAACTCTTGGTAGAAAATATTCAAAGCCGGGGGAGAACAAGTGTAATCTCAAGACCTCCAATACATGATCATCGATTGTTTTCTCAAGAACGATATATTCCATTTTTTAGCCTGCCACTAACTCACGACTAGCATGGTCAAGTCATTATCAACAGAGATGAAGTAGATAAAGCGCCAGAAGATGTGATTAGGGAAAGAATATTCCATTTCTCATCAGAGTCAGTGGCAAAGCTGAAAGCAAAAACAAATGTTGAATACAATACCACTGAGATTTCCTCCTTGCAAGCATTGTTGGCTCATCTTTGGAGATGTATAACAAGGGCTCAAAACTTTCAGTCATATCAAAAAAAAAAAAATCTTCGACATTGTCAGAAATGAGAGATCCAGGTCAGTTCCACCTAAGTCTCAGAACTGCTTCAGTAACTATCTATAGGCAACGTCAACAAAAGCTGACTATGGTGAATTGCTGGAACAAAGCCTAGGATGGGCAGTGTGGTTATTGCATCATGCAGTGATCAATCAGACACGTGTATCACATGAACAGATCGAATCATGGCTTCAATCCGGAGAACTACTTCGGGCTAGTGATCCGCCTGATGCCTATAGCAAACTCTTGGGATGCTCTCTACGATTCAACATGTATGTAACAGAATTTGGACTTGGGAAACCTGTCGCAGTTCTAAACGGGAGCACAAATAAATTTGACGGGAAACTAATAGTGAATCCAGGAGCCGAAGAAGGGGGAAGCATGGACTTTGGGATTTGCCTTCTACTTCATGTAATGACTTCTCTTGTATCTGACAAGGAGTTAATGAGACAGTCGCTTAGCTTATGAAGGCCAATTTCAGATTAACAGCTCTATGTAACAAGATCAAAATGGGTGCTTTAGCCTCTAGTGCCCGTGAAATATTTCCCTCTACCTTTTACTGAGTTAAAGTTTGTTCTTCCTTTAACTTGTGCAGTTTAATTGCTTTTACTTTAGTGGATGATACTATTTCAAAGCTTGTTATGATAATCAATAGCAGATGATGTGGTGATATTGTAAATCACTAGTCTTTGGTTGTGAATTGCTGTGCTTATATTGGCATATGCCAATTTTCCACTGGTGGAAATCCTAATTGTCATCTCCAGAGAAAGTAACTAGGGTCCTTGCTCCTTTTTGCCATTATACTTGGTATATGTCACGTCTCCTTCTAAACAATTTCAGAAAGAAAGCTATACGTCCAGGGAAGGAAATGATAGTGCGATTTCATGTTTAACCAAAATAATGTCATTCTCCCATAATCAAAAGATTAGGATTAAAAATTCAAACCAAATCAATTTTCTTTGTACGTAAAAGTTAAATATATCATAAACAGTAAGCAGCGTATTAGTTCTGGAGTCTACATGCTGTTGCCATATTAAATGTGAGCTATGACATTGGAGGAGATTAAAGGATGCAGGTATATATGCAACCGAAATCACAAGTGGACTTTGGAGGATTTTGGTTCTTGAAAATGTAATATACGTATCAAAGAGGGGTCACGCATCAAAAGTACAACTATTGGATGAAGTAGTATAGAACTAGGAGGTGAACACCGCTCAATGCGCGGTGTGAATTTCAGTCTTGCCCAAAAAATGCCCAAACATCTAAGTTGAACACTGTAGTTAAGCATAAGAAGTTATGTTTAGTTGTTTATAAAGTTTGTGTTTAACACAATGGAGGGGGAAAAATGAATAGGAATTTCAGTCTTGCCCAAAAAATGCCCAAACATCTAAGTTGAACACTGTGGTTAAGCATAAGAAGTTATGTTTATATGTTTATAGAGTTTGTGTTCAACACAATGGAGGAGGAAAAATGAATAGTGAAACAATTGAGATGAATAGATAATGAAAATGATTAATATGTTCCTTGTTCATGAATAGCATTCAAAGAAAAAAAAAAAAAAGAGAGACATAGTTGAGTAGGTAGTAGTAGCTTTTCCAAAATTTGAGTTGCATTTGAGATTGTTAATCTTATATTTATTGGGATAATAGAAGATATGGGAGGATACAAATTGAATATGGATATATTTAGCTGCCTTTACCAATTTGTAGATTGACTATACTATGGCATGATGGAGCTTGATTCAACATCTTGTAAAACTACATTGCTTCTTATTTTTTCTTTATGGAAATGTCCTTTTTCCCTGCGATTTTTCATATGCAGATGTGAAAGTTGGCAAATAAATATTTTTGAACAAAACATTCTGGAACAAAGGAGTTATTGCAAGTTCTTCTAGACAGATCTTCGACAAAGTCTTCTATTTCTTCGTTGAGTGTTCCGTGTGTTGGAGAAGTTCTTAAGGTGGCTGCTCTTGTTTATAAATCTGCATTGACCACAGAACATGTTGCCGCACGGATGCAGATCACACATCCCCATTTCATATAAAATAAGAAGTGAGTTTTAGAAGACCCAAAAAAATGAAAAAAAAAGGAAGAAGGAAACTGTGAAAAAAAAAAAAAATTGACCAAAAAGTAATCATTTGAAGAGTAAAATAATTTTTTTTTTTTTTTTAACTCATAACTCCGAGCACCGTCTCGTTATCAATTTTTGCACTAGCGGAACCAAATCATTTGTCAACTGTAATGTCAGCTCAAACGCTCGAACTATTATAGAAATCAGTAGGAAAAGACGGATAAACACTGACTGCAAATATTACAAGAAACTAATCTGACAAAGTTTGTCTATCAGATTATTTTTACAATTTACAACATCTACGACAATCTAAAGCTCTTCTCTCAAATAACCAGGACCAGGATTGAATGGATCGGACTCCAAGTATGCTTCTGGACGAGACGTCCCAGCATCATTCATTCGATTGCTCAGTACATGAAGGATAGCCTTCTTTGCACCATATTCATCCCGGTTGTTTTCAACATACATTTTCGCCTCAGCTGCCACCTCATTCACAAAATCAAATCGGTTATCCTCAGATAATAGTAGTCTATGGATATCCATGGTCAGGAGCTTCCCCCCGTCTCTTATCTTCCTGACCTGTTCTTCAAGGAAAGGAACTCTTTCCAATTTGGGTTCCAGAAACTCATCCTTCTTTGTCAATTTTCTTCGCCTCCACACCCGCCTACGCCCAGGACCATCACTTTTCGAGCTGGAAATCCGCTGGGACCTAATTTCGAGGTTCCACCGGCATGGATTAACTTGAGCTTGGAGATCAATTCTAGGGGGTGGATACTGGCGCAGCGATGAAGAAAGACGATAAGGCAGCCATTGCCATTTATTCTCCTTCTTCTTCTTCTTTACAAAGAGTAAAATAATTACCTCTGAAGTAAAGATTTTCACTAAAACATCTGAAACCATAGAAAAATGTTGAAACCTCCATTGAAATCACCTTCACTTCCTTTTCAATGCTCATTATCTTCTTTCTCCTTAAAAAAATGCAGCCATCTCTCCAAGTCCAGAATTAATCTAATAAAACATACAATAGCAGAAAAAAGCAAAAAACAACCTCAGTCTTCAAGATGTGCAAATTTTGTGGATCTAGGCAATGAGAAAATGAAATAAAATATTAATAGAACATGATTTCTTTTGGGATGATGTCTTTGGCAGCATCCAGTTGAAGATCGGTCAATTGGCAAATCAGCAACATGCATGCCTTGTAGGCGAGCTTTTTCCCATGCTAACACTACTCTCAGTCCACTGGCTAATTAAGTCCCACTACAATTAATTCTGTCCAACATGTTAACATATTTAATATCAAACAATCATTAGATGGTCCTTTAATCACTACAACTGCACACATATCCACCAATAAAACTCAAAAGAAAAATCCATTTAAAATAATTGCATGATGCATGCTAGAAAGCCTACTATTGTCAACTATTTCTTCAAGTAATTAAAAGAGTATAAAATTTAAAAATGTTAGTATCAACTTTTACATATTAGTTTTTATTGTCGATAGCAAGCATAAGAGTTTTCTACTCTTGCAACATGTTCAAAATTTGGTATTTGAATAAAACAGAATGTTGAAAAAAGGACTCATTAGAATATTGCACCTATACAATTGATCTTAGTACTCTTTAGTATAGCAAAACAAAATCAAGAAAAATTTTCAATATTTGGACCTGCAATATCGCAAACAAATATACAAATTAGATAACAAAAGCACCCAAAAAAAAATCTTTTACAGACCACTGTATCACCACACCGGGCCAAAATAAAATAACCGTAATCCTCTATGCCACCTTCTCTTTTCTTTACCAAACATAATCACACTAGTAATAGTTCACATGCTTTGCACATGATTGTAATATCTTAAAATACCTTTTTCCTTAGATATCTAAAAAAATTTTATGAAATTTTGATCATCAACATCATAATATAGTATTTTTATGTTATTTATTTTTTTAAGCTAGTTACTTTTAAAAATTTTATTAAATGAAAAGAGACAAAAAACATTCCAATATAGTTGAGATATCCCTTAGGATTGAATTTGAAATCATGAACCAAATATATACTTTTTGATTTATAGCTTAAACTCTAACATATCAAATATTGATAATATCAAGTTTTACCCAAATTATTTTATATTCATGATTCTATTGCATATAAACCACAATCATCACAATTTTTTACAAACAAAGTATATAATTAAGTTAGAAAAATAAACATAAATGTAATTTGAATTCTTTGTATTATGTTAATTCTATTTTTGTCAATAATGGAGTATAGATGATCCACCATGTAAAGTTTTTTTGGCTTGTATATTCTAACAATTGAAATATTATAGATAGAGATAGTTGGAGTTTTTCTATTTTCCTTTTCTTTTATTCATATTTTTATCACAATCCAATGCGAAGCAAAAGCAACAAGGCTACTTTTTTCATATGAGCACAATATTTTTGGTTTTAGTATTAGTTTTTTTTATGATCATAGAATTGGAATGAGACTTGTGGCTAATTAACAATTTTAATATTAATTTTTTGTATATTACAGTGTTTTATTTTTTAATTACCAACTTTTAATCCATAACTGCTATCATAATTATTAATTATTGGAATGCACTAAATCTGTCTAATTACAATTATCACAACAAATGAAATTTACTTAATTTTAAAGTTTTTTATTTCATAACCGCTTCCATTATTCACTAATATTGCAATACAGTAAATATATATAATCAATAGAAAAATAATGGTATTTTGGACATCACCAAAAATAATTTAAATATCATTTTCAGTTTATCATTCTTCATTTTAAATTTACTCTTATTATAATTCTTATTTTATCATTGGAGATGGCTTTTGACTTGATGGATGGATTTGGTTTGTTCAAACAAATACAAATGAAGCATTACGACATCGACTGAAGATGCGCGACCTGGTGCTGTTGCAGTCCAAGGAGCTTCCACATCTGGAATGGAGAAATCTGTTGGACCTGATCGGATAGCTGAGAAACAGAATACAATTCCTCCACAAGATGATAAGCTCAACTGCATTACTGCCCAAGCTCAAGCTGCCGAAGCTTCCGCTGCTGATGCAAATGGACAGTCGGTGGTTGATGATGACAGGGAGGGATCATTGCACAACGTTCAAACGACAATTGCAGGCCAAGACCATGCACATAATTGTGAAGGGTCCCATAATCTAGTGGAGCAAATCTTGGGAGATGTTCAACAGCAAATGGCCGACACTACCACATTGATTATTCATAATGCCGACAATCATAGTTGGAACAAAGGTGAAGGGTCCCAACCTGTTGAGGAGAAGCACTTGGGAGGTGAACATCTTCAACAGTCCGACACCACTGAGCTTGAAACTCTTTATGTCGACTTGTGTGGGGTCGAGGAGGAAGATTCCAAATCCGATGCGGTTGATGAAGCAGCTTTGCCAACTACAGCAGGGAATTTATCTCCAAGATTAGTTGAAACAAGTGAGAGGTCAGTGGAGCCATCAATTAACACTTTAAACATTGACCAATCTATAGCTATGGAGAGGGATTGCCGACAAGAAAAGGTTAAAGGTGTGCGAGCTTACTTCCCATCCGACAGACAGCTACGTTCGACAACATCATCCCATAACTCATTCCAGGTTTTTTCTCATGATTAGTGGAATATTTTGGAATATTAGAGGGGTAGCTAAGGCCCCTAATCTACGAAGATTGATTAAATTAGTTCGTACTCACCATGTTCAGTTTGTCGTGATTTGTGAACCAAAGTTAGACGAGTCCAAAATTGAGTCCATTCGTCTACAATTATTATTTGATCATACCTTTGTTAATAACTCGGGTGATATTTGGGTATTCTATAGTAGTCCTTTTATGTGTTCCATTGTGGGTAGATCGGAGCAGCATATTTCTATACATGTCCAAAGCCAATTGCTTTCTTCTCCAATCGTCATGTCTTTTGTTCATGCTAAATGCTCAGTGCAGGAGCGCCGTGTCTTATGGTATACCTTATTAAATGATAAGCCAATTTCTCTTCCTTGGTGCATTGGGGGTGATTTTAATGTTATATTAGCACCTCATGAAAAACGAGGGGGACGTCCATTTGCTATAGCGGAGGGGATGGAATTCATGTCTTTTATGGAAGAGGCCAGAGTTTTTGACGTAGGATTTTCAGGAGCTAGCTTCACATGGTCTAACAATCGGAGAGGAAGAGCTCGGGTTTCAAAGAGGTTGGATAGGTTTTTAGTCAATGGGGCTTGTTTGGATCTCTCAAACGCAATTTCTGTGCTTCACCTAGCAAGACATCCTTCAGATCATGCACCGTTGAAAATTTCATTTAAGGAGAGATCAGATCATACGCCACGGCCTTTCAGATTTTTGAACGTCTGGACAACCAAATCTGAACTCTTGGAGGTAATTCGATATGCTTGGAATCAAGATGTGTCTGGTCCTCCATTGCGTGTTTTGAGCTCTAAACTTTTGGCAACGAGGAGGGCTATTCAAACTTGGAACAAGCAACACTTTGGGAATGTATTTGATGCTGTTCGTTCTGCGGAAATGGGGGTTCAACGCGCAGAGGAAGCTATGGATCAATATGCATCGGAGGAATGTCAGGTTGAGCTTAGCAAGGCTCAGGCGGAGTTGCGACATGCATTGTCAATTGAAGAACAATTTTGGAGCCAAAAAGCCAGGGTCAAATGGCTTAAACACGGAGATCGTAATTCAAGGTATTTTCATGCGGTAGTAAGACAGAGACGGGCTCAAGGAATGATTCACCGCATCAAAAAGTCAAACGGTGTTTGGGTGGACAAGAATGATGATATAGCAACTGAGGCAATAACATATTTTTCTGACTTATTCACGTGTTCTTTAGAGTCATCTTCCGATTTGCGGTACCTAATTCCATCCATAATCTCGGAAGAGGACAACGAAAAATTGGAAGAGGTTCCTTCGATTGAAGAAGTCTATCGAGTCGTGAGATCAATGGATGGGGACAGTGCTGCGGGCCCAGATGGTTTCACAGGTAAATTTTTTACATTTGCCTGGGAAGTTGTCGCCCAAGATGTATATAATGCAATACTCAGTTTTTTCTGTGGGGCAGAGTTGCCGCGATTCATCACATCTACCTCCATTGTGTTAATTCCGAAGATGCCAAATCCTCAGGATTTTTCTCAATATAGGCCCATCAGTCTGTGTAACTTCTTCAACAAATTATTATCCAGGATCTTAGCTGATAGAATTGCTTATGTTCTGCCCAAAATTATTTCACCCCAGCAGACAGGCTTTGTGAAGAGGCGCAATATAACAGATAATTTTCTGCTAGCTCAGGAGATAGTTTCGGGTATTGGGAAAAAAAATAGAGGAGGCAATGTGGTAATGAAGCTTGACATGTCTAAGGCTTATGACCGGGTGGCATGGGATCATATTATTGATGTTCTCAGGAGGTTTGGCTTCGGAGAAATATTTATTGATTTAGTATGGCGATTGATCTCTAATGTCTGGTTTTCGGTCATTTTAAATGGGGCATCTCATGGTTTTTTTAAATCTACGAGAGGCCTCCGTCAGGGTGATCCTTTATCGCCTGCTTTATTCATTATAGGGGCTGAGGTGTTATCTAGAGGACTGAATAACCTTGCCATGCAATCGGGTTTTGTGGGATTCAAAGTCCCGTATGCATGTCCTACTATAACTCATTTGGCGTTTGCGGATGATGTTCTCATATTTGCAAACGGATCCTCTTATTCTCTAAAGGTTATCATGCAGGTGCTAGAGGCTTATCAAAGGTGTTCGGGTCAGCTAATAAATGTGCTAAAAACTTGTTACCTGGTTCATCCATCTTTACCACCGGCAAGACGAAGGGTGATTGAACGTATCACCAAGTTTACCTGGCAACCATTTCCAATTCGGTATTTGGGTTGCCCCCTTTACTTTGGGAGATGCAAATCATCATATTTTGGAGAAGCGTGTCAGTCTATTCTAGGGAGAATTATATCATGGAAATCAAGGATGCTTTCCTTTGGAGGTAAGATAGTTCTAATCAAACATGTCTTGGCATCGATGCCAGTACATCTGATGTCGGCTGCGGTTATCCCGAGTAAGGTATTTAGAACTATAGAAAAGGCTTTCTCGACCTTCATATGGAGCTCTTCACCCGAGGATTCGAAATTTCACTGGATACGTTGGTCCCATATGTGCTATCCAATAGATGAGGGAGGAGTTGGATTTCGGAAGCTACAAGACATCTATACAGCTTTCTCATTCAAACTTTGGTGGAATTTTAGAAAGGGTTTGTCATTGTGGGCTGAATTTATGAAAGCAAAATATTGTAGACACCTTCATCCTTGTCAGGTAGAAATCAAGGCAATGGACTCCGCACTCTGGCGCAGGATGGTCAATGTGAGTCGACAAGTGGAATTCTCTATGCTATGGATTGCAAAAGACGGCGCTTGTCATTTTTGGTACGACAATTGGTTGGGGGTGGTGCTTTGTTCCACCAAGCGACCGTTGTCCCACATTTGTCTTTTGCTAATTTCATCATCAATGGACACTGGGATGTGAATTTGTTATATCAGATAATGCCGAGGGAAATGGTGCCCTCTATTTTAGAGCACCCGATTCCAGAAGAAGGGGGTGAATCTGAAGTCATTTGGACGCTCACAACATCTGGAAACTTCTCTATAGCTTCGGCATTTCGGGATATTAGGCAGGCCCGCAACAAGTCTATGGTCTTTAATACAATTTGGCATTCTCAGCTCCCTTTCAAAGTTTCATTCTTCATGTTACGATTGTTGCTGGGGAGACTGCCGGTTCCAGATCGGTTATGTAAACTTGGTTTACATTTACCCTCAAAGTGTTTTTGCTGTGCTTCGGCATCTGAGGAATCAATTGAACATTTATTTTCTACTGGCCATATAGCGTCGACAGTTTGGCACTATTTTGGAGCTTCATGTGGTTTGTCCTTTCCAGGGTCATCTTTGAGGCCCCGTATAGTTGGTTGGTGGCTCAACTCATATGATTCTGAAATGCAACGATTTATTGGGCACATTCTACCCAGCATTGTCTGTTGGCAGATTTGGAAAGCAAGGAATAAAGCAATGTTTGAGGATGTTCAGATGAGGCCGCTTGCCATTTGTCGTGCCATTTTCTCGGAAATCCAGACCATGGTGGGAATTCATTTCAAACAAGTGTTCAGAGTACAGTCATTTCATCATTTGTATGATTGGTCGTATTCTTCTCATACTGAGGTTACATACAAACTTGTTCGCTGGGAAGCAAAGGAATCCGATCGGTTCATATTAAATACGGATGGCTGTTCTAAGGGCAATCCAGGAGTGAGTGGAGGCGGTGGGGTTCTTCGGGATTCAAATGGCATACCTTTGATTGGTTTTTCGGCATATCTTGGGGAAACTACAAGTCTATGTGCAGAGGTTCGGGCACTCCTTATTGGTCTTCAAACTTGTGTACATAGGGGTTTTCAAAATCTCTATGTTCAATCGGATTCTTTATTATTAGTTGGAATTCTTCAGAATCGCATTCAATGCCCCTGGAAGATTCGACGAGAGATTAGGCAGATTTGGCAGTTGGTGAAAGATCCTGATCGTTTTTCGCATTGCTATAGGGAAGCTAACAAAGTTGCTGATGTGTTGTCCAATGTGGGCGTATTTCATCCAGAGCATCAAGTCAAGCTTTACGAGGCCTTTAATTCGTTCCCAACTATGGCTCGTGGGGCCATTCGACTTGATAGATTAGGAATGCCTTCAATTCGGAAAAGTAAGCGTATGAAGGGCTGAGAACAAAGGACAACTGGAGCTAATATGCGGTTGAATGAGACATGGAGGTTTTGTGTTTGATTTATTACCTTTTCAGTCGATTGCTGTACTTCGAATTGGTCTTTCTCAGTGTGTAAAATTTGCTCCTATCTATAAAATAAAATAATTTTTTTAAAAAAAAAAAAAATGAAGCATTACTATATTATTGTCAATAACACTATTTGTCTTTTCCTGAATATTTGTGATTTGGATATTGTTTTTGATATTATTTGAATTGTATTCTTACTTTTTAATTCATTTGCTATTTACTTTATGTCATTTTATAAATGGTTTTTAATTTTTTCAGTTTTTTTTTTGTTTTGATCAGTTGCTAACTTGCTATTAATGATAATAGTGATTTGAGTGGTGCTATTTCAGATTTCTTTTTTTTTTCAATTTAATATTGCTATTTTAGTTATAAAGATGCCATCATTTTTTGTACATTGAAATTCCATTGAATGCAACATGAAAAATTTTTCATATTGGTAAAAAATGCATAATTGTTAAATTTACTTGTGATATTTGTATGAAAATATACAGATGACTAAAGGTTCTCTTATCGTTGTATGTCTATCCATTTTTTAGAGAGTATCTACTTTTTATTGTTTTACAATCTCAACTAATGACTAATGAGAAATTTTTCATACTTCAATTAAAAATTTTTGATATGGAGTCCAAGGGTACGTAAATAGTTTTTAATGAAAAATTTTTAATTATAATTACCAATACTACTAAAATGTAATCAATTGGAGAGTTTTTTTTTTAATTAGTGCCACATTAAAATACAATACTTCTAATTAAAAGACATGAGATAATTTAGGGATAACAAAAACTAAGATAAATATGTGCTTACACTTACACTCCCTAATACTAACATTCATACTTTTTATATAGTATTGTAAAATTTACTTGTGATATTTGTATGAAGATATATAGATGAATAAGGTTCTCTTGTCCTTGTATATTTCTCCATTTTTTAGAGAATATCTATTTTTTGAAATTAACTTTTTTTTTTTACAATCTCAACTAATGACTAATGAGAAATTTTTCATGCTTCAATTAAGAAATTTTGATAAGTATAATAATTGGAGATAGAGTCCAAGGGTAGGTAAATAGTTTTTAATGAGCTATTTTAAATTATAATTACTAATACTATTAAAATGTAATCAATTGGAGTGTTTTATTTCTTTTAATTAGTGTCACATTAAAATGTAATAATTCTAATTAAAAGACATGAGGTTAATTTAGGAATAACAAAAACTAAGATAAAAAAGTGCTTACACTTGCACTCCCTATTACCAACATTCATACTTTTTATATAGTAATGATAATGATGATAATGATAATGATAAACAACAGAACAATAAAACAAAATAAAAACTTATTGATATTTAATCTATAACTACAAAGAAAAAAATAAAAATTAAGAGCAAGTTGGCGAATGCAAAAACCAACAAAAAATTTAAAAAAGAAAAAAAAAAACCCTAACATCAGATGAGGTCCTTATGCACCAGTTATCTCTTGCAGGGGACCGTTTTTCCGCTCTGAAGAAAAAATTCAAGGAAGGCAAAAAAAAATAAAATAGGTGTCATAGAAGTAGGAAAAACCATAAACTTTTGTGGACAACCAGAAGAGTGTTATAGTTCCAAATATAGTTCTAGTTACTATATACCTTGACTATCCGCAAAGAGTGTTATATTTCCAATGTCCCTCTGCAGAAGAGTCCTAATAAGCTTTTCCAAGCCCTTGGCCGTGTTCAAAAAATGAAAGAGTGAGCAGAGAGGGATGTACGTGAGTCGAGCTGCTTCCGAGTAGCTCACGAGTAGCTCGGTCAATGACTTGACTTAAACTCGATCAAACCGAGTCTCGAGCTACTCGAATATACATTCGAGTCGAGTTCGAGCCAGGATTTTGCAGCTTGTGGCTCGACGAGTAGCTTGTCGAGTCGGATATATTTAAATAATATATATATAATTTAAATAATATATATGTATTATAATTTATATTTTCCGAGCTGAGTCAAAAAGTTTGATTACTCGACTTGATAAGACTTGACTAAAAGTCGAACCTTATCGAGTCGAGTCTCGAGTTTAAAAGAATTTCCTCGAGTTAAACCTCGAGTTGCGATTTTTAGACTCGATCGAGCTCGAGCCGACCTCAAGTATAGTTATATATAGGTTGAGTTGAGTTCGAGTATAGCAGTACTCGAGCTCGACTTGGCTCGAGTACATCCAGGTTCGGTACAAGTTGAAAACAGCATATGCAGTCAACTAAATCCTGGGTCATAATTTACATTACCAAAGTACCCAGCCTAATAGCCTGTATATTTGTTTTGTGGATCCATGATAGGTTTTAATATATTCAGACACCCAATCAAAATCAACTGTGCAGCAACGAGCAAGTAACCAATAACACCAATCATCTCAAAATTCATCAAGGGACAAAGACCACAGTTAACTAAACCATCATGTCCGTGGGCTTCTTGTGTTTACTGCTTGCTAAACATGTACGGTCCATGCATGCTTTAAGAAAATGATTCTCAGGATCAATAAATCCTAGCCAACAGTCACCTACTTTGAGGATCTAAACTATGTAATATGCAAGCTATTGTTTCTCCATCCAATACGAACGCTTCATACCTACTAGCATCTAAAATGACCTCCCACAAAAAGAAGAATTAATATGTTTAAAACTGACTATACAGCAAAGGATATCCAAAAGAAAAACAGATTCAGCTTTTGAAAGTTCAAACCAGACCCCTTTCGTGATACTGGATACTCTTCTGATTCAAGAATGCGAGCAACTTGACTCATAATGGGTATCTTTTCAGCATCAGGATCAACACATATTAAAACGGCCAAAAGAGCTCGTTTGAGGGCTGTTGTAGGTGGCTTGGTCTCAATTGTGAGGTCAACAACTTCCTCAAAGCATCTGCTCCCGACCATCACCTTGAGCCAGTCAACTAAGTTCACATGAAACGAAAAAAAAAAAAAAAAGAACAAAAATCATAGGTGTAACTAATAGAAATGCAAGATTCACTCTAGTTGAACCCACAATACATGTCAAGAAAGTTATGGATACAAGCATGGTAGAGCTTCCAAGAAGGATAGTCCTTCCTAAAAAATCAAGCCTAGAGTAGCTTGAACCATGAATAGAAAGAATAATGTCCTCGGAGTTGGTCAATTTCAAACAGCAAATGACTGGAAATCAAGATAGTAAAGATACGAATCTTTTTCATAATGCTGAGAAAATCTTCTATACTCAGAACCAATCATCATGATGTGTATTTCCAAACTTCTATATCAAACTTGGATACTGTAGGTTCAAGAAAACATTGGAAAAGAGAGGAAGGGAAAGTAGATAAAGTACAGATTGTGATTGATTGTGGCTCAAGATTGCGAATTAGAGTTTCATATGATTCATGACAATTTTTATCTGAATCAAAACAGTTTTAATTTTAAACAATCCAGTTTACTCCTTAGTAAAAGCATGCCACTTCTTCAGCCAAAACTTTTGATATTTATAGACAAACATGTGTATATATGTTCCAACATTGCTATCTATGATACCTCAGGTGCAAAAGGCGACCATAATCCACAGGATCTCTTCCGGTAATGGCTTCCAAAAGCACAACCCCAAAGCTATAAACATCACACTTCACGTTTAGGAGGCCACTATTTGCATATTCAGGTGCTACATATCTATATGGGTTAAAAAAGGGGGGAAACAGAGAATGTCAGAAAAAGAAGAGCCGAGTTTGGGTTAATTAGAGAGCTTGTAAACAGAAAGCAGTAAGGAAAAGGAGACTTCGTTCAATTGAGATCGGATACCTGATATAAATACCCATCCAAAGGTACCCATGACTTTGGTTGTAATGTGACTTTTTCCAGAACCGAGCAACTTAGCCAGACCAAAATTAGATAGTTTAGCATTGAAGTCATCATCAATGAGTATATTGCTTGACTTTATATCTCGATGCACCATTTTGGGCTCAATTGCCTCGTGCAAATATGCAAGAGTGCAAGAAGCATATCTCGTTTGAACTTAAAATGGAACCTAACAATAACTTCAAAGACAAGAAGAAGTTTATATAGATGGACTTACGCTTTTACAGTGCCTGCTAAAACTTTCATACTAGCCTCCCAAGTAAGATAACCATGATGGCTCAGGGCTCCACGAAGCCATTGTTCTAGATTTCCATTGTTTACATATTCATCTATCAACAACCTGAATTTTATAGGGAAGTCCAACAGAGGTAAGGTAAAGTTAGTTTGCTAAACAAAAAAACCTTTGAGGTTTAACTGCCTGATCGGTAAATTTTAAGGGTTCAAACAAAATGCTAATCTGCATCTCATTTAAATCTAATGAACAAATGAAAATATGATGAGACAGGTTTAAGCAGTAATGTACCTGTGAGTTCCTTCAATACAGTAACCCAGAAGTCGAACTAAATTTTTTTGGTGGACATGACCAATAGCCTCAACTTCAACCCTGAATTCCTTCTTTGCTTGCCCTCTGGACATTTAGAAACAAGAGAAAAGGCTCGTTGTCAATTATTTATCAGGTTCTGTAGAATACTTGAAGGACCTTATATAAACCCATCCGAGAACTTACATATTGTTGAGGATTTTTTTAACAGCAACAAGAAAGCCATTTATCAGTCGGCCACGATAAACAACTCCATATCCACCCTCACCAATAACATTTTCCTTGGAAAATCTGTTGGTTGCAACTTCAAGGTCCCTAAGCGTAAACCAATGACCCCAACCAAGGTGAGCAAACTCAGGAAGACCTGATAAAAGGGAAGAAACAGCCACTGGATGTGAATTATATATTGCTCCAGCACCTCCCTTTTCCCCTGACTCACATGCGACACCTTCTTTCTCCAAATTAGTAAAGGAATCATATTGACTGCTATTATCAGCACTCATGGCCTTTTCACTGCTAAGAAGCTTGTCTGAATCTTTATCACTAAACTTGTCCTGAAGGGTAAGGAAATCAATATCAGGAGCAGCATAATTTTTGGCAGAATATTGGTCAACCTTGATCTCTTTAATTTCCTTTGACACCTTGGGAATTTGGCTAATTTGAAGAGTAGCACTACCCCTTTTTGATCTTTTACGTGATAGACAAAATGGCAGAACCAAAACAATAAACACAAGGAACAAGCCCACAAAGATGGCTATTAAAACCCACACCTTAAGGTGAAAGATGTGAGTTTTCTTTGACAGTTCAAAGTTAAGGTCGGATGCCATTTTAAACAAATGAAAGCACCTGCAGAAAGAAAACCGAGACATCATGAAGAGAGTTTGCAGTGGTAACTAACCCATATAAATCGTGATGGCATTCTTGCTCTAGTTATTACTCACTTTTTAATTTAAAACGCAATTTACTTTAGCCGAATTTACATTGCCCTTCTATCTGCCAAGGTGTACATTGTCTTGCATCAGCAAGAAGAAAAAGAACAGTACTACATAAGAGAAATGGTTGAACAAAGGCAACCAATGAAGAGAAATTTCTAAGTTTGTGATGAATTTAAAAAAAATTCTACAAAAGGGGTGATTTTGTCATACCATTCCGTCCAGGGGTCCTCGCATTCGTGAAATGCGAGCTCAGCGAGCTCGCATTTCACGAATGCGAGGTTAGAGAAGAGCTCGCATTCGCGGAATGCGAGCTCCTCTTTATTTTTTTTTCTTTTTTTTATTATTTTTTGAGAGCTAGGGAATTATTTCCAGAAAGCTCGTAAATGTTTTTTTTAAAAATGTTGCAAATATTTAAAATTTTGCAAATAGCTCGCATTTGTTAAATGTGACCTCCAAAAATTGTATGTAACTTTTTTGTTAGATTTCGCATTTATAAGTATGACTTTCAGAAAATTAAATTCAAAAATGTTAGGAAAAATATTTAAAATGATATTTACGAGCTCCATAAAAAAAATAAAAGTAAATGTAAATATTGTTTGTTTTGTAGAATTTGCCTTTACTAAAATGGTGTCGGTAGTAAAATCTTATTTTAAAATCTCTACTAAAATCTTATTTTTCGGAGAAAGGTTAGAGAAATTTTGTTTAAAAATCTGTAATTAGCAGAGGAATAATGTTTTTTTTATTTTAAAACTTGCACGTGGCTAAAGTCATCAAATATGTGCTAAAACAAAATCAGATTAACAATAATCTTTTTAATATAATTTACTATACATGCATAATTCTTTTATAATAAAAAAAATTGGTAATTGTACGGTTGAAAATACGTTATTTTATTATAATACATTTAAATGGTGAAAAAAGTACACATACGTAGTTCTTTCTATTTCATAGATCAATGTTCTTTCTATTTTATAGATCAATGTAAAAATAGAATGAAATTGTTAACATGTAAGGTGTTGACTATTTGTTGTGAATAAAATATTAAGTGTTTTTCCTTTTGTATCAAATTAATTTTTTTGATCAAATTCTAATTTTCCTTTGTGATTAATGAATCGTATTTATTTGTTGACACCGATGAATATTAGTTATAAGAATATAATAGTTAATAGTCATTAATATATGTTACAATTTCAACTGTAATTTTAGAAATTTCATAACGCAATGTTATTTTAAAAAAATTATATAAGTTATTTTTATGAAGTGCATGTTATTTGTTTGGTAGTTGAAAAGGAAAAGGAAAAAATTAAAGCAAAGATCTAGCGATTAAATCTTGCGTGTTTTACCTAACTTACAATTATTTGGGCTGGATTACTATTTTGATTAAAAATATAAAGCGATAATGAAGACAAAGTTATACTGCAGCAAAAACCCTAAAACCCTAAGTGCTAAAGCCGTAAAACACTAAATCGTAAATCTTAGAAACCAAATCCTTGTAAACCCTAAAACATATACTTGCTGTAGAGAGAGACAGATCCGAGCCTCGGATCGGAAGGTTGAATATAAATCCGAGCTCGGATCATTAGGATCCGAGGACTTCCCTTGATGGATCCGAGGTCGGATCTTCTGTCCTCGAATACACTCCTACAGAAGTACAGACGAGGGATCGGATCTGTCCTAGCTCTGACGGATCCGGGCTCGGATCGGTTCCATTAAATTTCCGCTGTTTTCGCTTCTTTTGTTTTTCCTTCATTTTTGCTCCTAATTTCTTGTGCACTTTATCCTCTGGACTATCTTGACATTGATTTCAGCTCGTGCATGAACTTCATATGGAATGTTCCTCACAATCTCACAAAAATAATGCATTTATCCACTCATTTAAGCAATTCAAAAAAATGGGCAAAATTGAACATTTTGGCCATTAACTTGAAAGTTTTGACAATATTTTATACAATTTTTGACAGATTTTCCCCTAAAAAATGGACAAAACTCCCTGTCAACAACCTCAAATTCAAGAAAATTATGACAATATTTCCAAATATAAAACCAACATTTTCAAGCCATAGACAACTAAAATTATGCATTTAAAAATACAATGAGAGCCACTCAAATAGGTGGTGATGCAATTTGAAGCCCTTAATCATCACAATCATCCAATTTCTGTCCAAAATGAGACAACAAGGGTACCAAACACCATAGGTAGCACAAGATGATTCAACTAAAAGAAAAATAAAATCTACAAAGTTTGTCTTAACAAAAGAAAAGAAAAATAAAGAAATAAAAGATCCAATCCGCTAAAGAGCATCATGGCTGCTGGGAACGAGGGTCTACTGCCTCCTCGGCTCCATGAGGACCCTGTGAGGTACCAATATGACCCTCCTCCTGATGAGGTGTAGGAGTAGGGGTAGGGGACCGGCGGATATGGAAATGATCCTCAATCGCACGAAGACGGCGATCATGTCGGTCGAGTCGCTCGGTCATCATCCACTCCGTTTGGTCAATGCGCTCGACAATTCGCGTCTCCATACAACAAATGGCATTTAGGAGCTCTTGCCACTTGGAGCGCGGTTGAGGAGGTGGTCGCAGAATCGGAGGAGGAAGAGTCTGTTGTGCCTCCGTCCCTTGAGTTTCCGCTTGTGGTTCAGTATGAGGCGGAGGCTGAGTGGAAGTCGATGCTTCTCCTGTGTCCCGGACCAAAGCAGCTCCAAAATTCGTAGAAATATCCAAGGATTTGAGTATCGTAGCATTCACCTCCTCGGCCGACCTAGTTACCACCGCTCTCTCGGTTCCAAGAGGAAACTTGAGCTTCTCAAAAACAAGTGATAGCAGTCGAGGAAATCCGAAACAAGTGTCGCCGGCCCTCATGCGAGCTGTGGTCCGCATATAACTGATGATAATGCTGGGTAGAGGAATTCCGGTCAACTGCCTACCCACTCCATGTGTCATCTTATCCAGAAAATAGAGATCGCTATTTCGGATCTCCCGTTTGCCACTCTTTTTCGGCACCACATTAAAGGCAAAAAGATAGAAGATCAGGTGGAACCGATGATGGAAGGAGTCGGCATATACCGTGAGTTTTTTCGAACTTCCTCGCTCACGGTACTGCCCCTTTAGACGTCCCACAGCCTCTCCCACTTCCCAAGGATCTCTAGCTTTGAACTCCTTGGTCAATTTGACGTCGTCGCCTTCGTCTTTGAGTTGGACGAAGCGTCTCAGTGCATCTCGATTGAGAGCCACTCTCGTGCCTCTAACCCATGAGACAATGAGGTTGCCACTGTGGCTCTGCTTGTTTTCTACATTAGCATAGAACTCCCGGACCAGGTTGGGGTAGTAGTGCTTGGGCAACTGAAGGATGTTCTCCCATCCAAGTCTCTTGAATGCTGTAGAAATGTGATAGTGCGCGTCCACCTCCGGTGCCAAGTGTTTCTCAATGATGATCTCCTTGTCCAGTCCGGCTTCATACCACTCTTGGTTTTCAAGCGATGTGAATCGTGTGGTATCGTAGTCTGGCGGTGGCTCGTCACGGCTAGTAGATGCGGTCTTCCGGCGAGAACGCGGTGGCGGCTCAGGTGAGGAAGATTCTTCCTAAGGTGACTCCTCATGCAAAGAGGGCGTGTGTTCCTCACTTGAGGAAGGAGTAGGAGTACGAATGCGAGCCCTCCTTGTGCGAGCCATAATACCTATACCAAAACAAGATGAACGTTCATTACAAAACGTATAAACTTGCTCACACATGTTAAATAAGAATTTAAGAAAATTTCGGCAGAGTTTCCCCTTATAAAAGGGCGTATAAACCTGCCAACATGTACCACAAAAACACGCCCAAAGATCCTATTTTACGCATTTCAAGCTCAATTGCATATTTTCAAGTAAAATCGTCCTCAAAGAAATGAATCATTTGAACCTTAACCATCATTTCAACAATGTATATGCCAATATAATCATAATTTTAACCAAGAATCACACAACAATTGACTATAGCATTCTTAATAAAGTGCATACAAATGAGGCGTAAGTTTGCCAAAAGGTTTGAACGTACTTAACTAAATTATAAACACGCTCTTTTATCCAATGGAATGTGATCTAGTTGGCATATTATTTTCACTTGGTACAACAATAACTAATACTCCAAAGAACAAAATCATTCGTTCAATGAAAACGAACATTCACAAGTCTAAATCACTAAAATGCTCAAGGCCAAAAATTGAGAAAAAATCTTAAAAATATCACCAAGTCCACAGTTCTCTCAAAAAATAAGCATGAAAATAGCTGTAACAATCTCTTTAAGCACAATGTGGCACAATTATATCAAGAAATCCCAACAAATATGCATTTATCATAATATTCCCAAAAACTATAAAAAACCCGAATAAGAAATTTTAAAATGTCAAAGAAATTCGTAAATTGTTACCTCAAATGTGTAGATTGATAATGCAGGATGAAAAAGATGTAAAAGTTTACACAGAAACACGCCAAAATACCCCCCAAGTTGAGGAAATCAGGTGCGGCCCGAATTGAGGTTTTGCAGATCAAAACCCTTGTTTGATGTTGTTTCTTGGTAAAATAGATTGGGGTTACTGATCAGAAAAGGTTTGGGGAGGTTTTTATGAAGGAAGATTGGAGATTTGATGGTTAAAATGGAAGATTGGAAGAAAGGAGTGGGGTTTCGGTGAGAAGAGGGAAGAAAAACTTTGAAAAGTGCAGAAACGAAGCCTCGTTTCTGCTATATCCGCGAACCGATTCGAGCACGGATCGGTTCATGAAGGCCTCGGATCCGACAGGCCTCGGATCAGTCTCAACAGAAACACAGGCGAGGCCTTGGATGTATCTGGTTTGAAATGGATCCGGGCTCGGATCTATAGATCCGCGGTCGGATCTTTCTGGGGTTCCTAGGA